TTGAATGCTATTCAAGGTGCTTTAGGCTGTAAAATAATGTTGTAATGTTGCTTCCTTAGGAGACAGGCATCATGTTACGAAATTTTCATAAAAAACTGATAACATTCGGTCTCTCCAGACCCATTTGTATCATTATCACACCTCAGAAAATGTGATATTTGTATCATTGGACTTTAACGTGGTCTAGCTCTGTCAATTTATGTGATAGCATGATTTTGATTTCATAGTCATAAAGCTATGAAGATTCTGCAACCGATCAATCGAGTCTATCATAGCCAATAGATTATATAAGATTCTAAAAATCAATTTATAAAAAGTCAAAACGTGAGACAACGTCTTGTTGAAGGTGTCCATAACCACCCGACCTGAAAACCACAAGGCAGACTGGCTTTAAACCACACCACATTGCTTCTTCTGGCATATTATACACGCCTTTAACCGCCTTCAACCGCCCTCCTTGATGCACCAACAACACGTCCAAGATCTTTTAAAACTAATTAAATTTTGAAATTCCTCTGAATTTCTATATTGTCATTGTTATAAGTAGATCACGTTTTGTACATCGCATGACTGCACTAGGCAGCCGCCTTACCTAATGCACAATGACATCTCCTACAAAGTACAAGATATTTCGAAAGAATACCTCCCGCTATTATGTTTTTTAATCAAATCGTGCCAATGAACACTATCTTGTGTCATTGAACAATCCTAATTCCTAATACCGGAACAATTGGCCCGTAAAGCCCACTCTCGAGCTGAGTGACGGTGTCTATCTCAAACATCAGACAGCTGACACTGACTAACACTACCTACTTGTGTACGTGTTACATTGCTACTTGTAGAGTGTAACAGTGTAACACACACACACACACACACACACACACGCACTTGTCGGTTACACGCACTCCCCAACAAGTGTCAATAACTGACCTACACGCGTATCACACGACTACTCTCGGATAGTGAGCTCAACCAACTCTCAGTACCACAGCACTACCACAGCAAACGCCCGGCAAACAGCTAACCTTGTCAGTCTTACATGCAGCACAGCATATATAGAATATAATATTTTATAATATTGAGAGAGTGAGGGAGAGAGAGTGAGGGAGAGAGAGTGAGGGAGAGAGAGAGAGTGAGGGAGAGAGTTTGGTAAATACTTTATTATTCAATAAAATTTGCAGTAAGGTACCAGGCAGATCCAAACTACAGTTGCTACATGTCTACCCTGCTTCTACCTGGGTATTGGAACCTATTTTCTTTCCCTTACCTTTGTTATTCAGACGGCCAGAACAGAGGGTGCTGCATAATTCATCTCCATATTATTTATGAATGAGGGTATAATTAATATAGAGCTACTAGCGGCCTACGCGCGTCAGGCGACCTCAAGGAAACCTAACCTGAACAGCTACATTTTTTGAATTTCTCTGAGATAACATAGTGTGCCCTGGTCCAGTAAAAGTCCGTGTAACCCTCACACGTTAGTTATCGTAGTAGCAGAGCGAGATTGAAACGTTGTTGAATGTCGGTGAGTTGTGCGTGTGAGAGTTTTGATTTTAGGATACGAGTTTTATGCAATGTCGGGTTTCGTCACGTGTAGTCGAGTGATGCGGTGTGCAGTCGCGAGACAAGGGTTGTAGTCGCGAGACAAGGGTTGTAGTCGCGAGACAAACGTTGTATTCGCGTGGTGCGGTGTGTATTCGCGAGACAAAGGTTGTAGTTGCGAGACAATGGTTGTAGAAGCGAGACAAAGGTTGTAGTCGCGAGACACAGCGTGTAGTCGCATGTACTCGTAGATAAATAGCGTGTAGTCGCGGTATAAGAAGACAGCAAATAGCGGTATGACTGTATGTGATTTACTTTCCCCTGTTTCCCATACTTTGTGTGTTCTCTGTCGTTGTGTGTGTCTAACCTAAATATGTAATGACCTCCATTATGACTATTTAAGGCTTGATTATGTTGCGGTAAACGCAATTCTAAGGTTGGATTTAAAATGCTTTAAAAGCACGGCACGAATCCATGTTTTATCAAATTTCAAGAGGAGGAAATCGGGCGATTATATTTAATAACTCTAAAAAGGAAAGAAATACAAGTGAAACCTAACCCGACCAAATTTTTCCCAGGAGTTGAGCTCATCTGAAGCCCAACTCTCAAAGAGTCGATTTAAACACACTAAAGAGCCCAGAGTGATCCCGATTAAATTTAACTTTAGGACCTGTGAAGAGCACAGTAACTAATGGTACCGATGTAAAAGTGCTCTCTGTGCAGGGAAGATGCGGAGAAGGGGCGAGCTAGGGGGATTCTGGGTCTGTTTGCGTGGGATTACCAGACTCAGAGGAGGCACAGCGCCACAGCATGGGATATAGGTACATACTAACATACTCACGCACACACTTAGCGAAACTCTTACATATTATTAGGCCATTCACATAGCACAGAAACACTCAGCTATACACATACACACAGACACATCTTTACAGTGAATTTCACACTGGTCATGATTTCTCTCTGGCTGTGACAAACATGAAATTGCTAGTGTGAGTCGTGATCTGCGTGAGAGTGGATCAGATACGAGACTAGCTCTGAGGTCAGAAGAAGAAGAATTATGCGTGTTTTGTTGTGAGAGAAGTGTATCAGGTCTCCTCCTCGCAAATGGCAAATCTGGTTCTTCTTTTCTTGTCACAACTGTTATTTCACTCGGTCCGAGCTGCAGGAGGTTATTAGCCTCATATATTCAGGGCGAGGGAGTGTATTTAGCGGATATCATCTTACACACTCACCACACACATTGTTGTACCTACCTACCTATGTTGAGTTTGTACACAACACACATCGCTTACTTTTGTATAGGAATCCCTGCTCTACCCCACATATACGGTCACATATTATCATGTCTTGTCATTGGTCATAAAACCAATTATATAAGAAACTGTGGTCTAAAATTACATCAGAGCCTACAATGTCCGCGTAGCAAGCAAGATTTTCATGTTCTATGGACGGGCTATCTTGAGATGCAGATGATGGTTCGTACCAAGCCCTAAAATTTTACTTAATTCGTGGAGTCATTTTTCCGGGATTCAACAAGAGGATCGGGAAGAGTGATTAGAATGTGAAATATGGAAATACAGCCATATACTGACCTTGATAACTAAAGTCTAAACGTGCATATATATCTACTCATCCTTCCACGAAATGTAACGTTCCACGATCAACCTGTCTCGCATATTGTTTAATCGCTAACCTGTCTCCACCAAGTTTCACTAGAGTTACAGAGAAAAGGAGGGCAGTGTCTCAAACCTAATGCGTGTACAGTCGGGGTAGAGTGTAACTATCAATATTAGGAGTGAGATCACTGCATAATACGCTGCTTATCCGGCAGAAAGTCCGGCGGAACACGAGCTCAAACTCAGGAGTGTAAAATTAGACATGTAGCCAGAGCGAGTGGGGTAAGTCTGTTAGCGACATGATGACACACACACACACACCGAGTATTATGGAGTAATGAACCTGGTTGTGTGTGTTGTGTGCTTGATAAAAAGATAATGGTATGTGTACCAAATTTCATGAGAAGTGATAGAGAGAGAGAGAGTTTCAACACCAGGAATAATTCGGTGATTACATGTGACATGGAGAGCAGAGGTGATCAACTGTTGAAATACGCCAGAGTTTGTGTGTATACAGCTACTATTGGGTGTAAAAATTAACTAAGTTCTGAAAGTGTCCAATATTTTATACCCCGGGCGAGAGAAAGATGGTATAATGAATATGCGAATGTAAGTGGGTCGGACGAGGGCGTACCAGCCGGCGCTAAACTTTAAAATATTACAGCTCGGAATAATATGTGTATCTTATCACCTAGCCGAAGTAATTAGCGAACATAATACGCTATCAATGAGACACACGGGGCCATGTTACGTGTACAGTAATGTAGTAGTAATAATGTGGCGAAGGTGCTGCAACATAGTGGCTCAGGACCGGGGTCAGGGACGAAGGACGCTGGGTAATTGAAGCAAGAGGGGGTATGAGAGAGAGAGGTACACAGTCCACTATAGTACCCATCATACCCGGGCTCCTACTACACACTACCCGAGGTATACACACACAGTGTATATTTCGTCTGTGTGCAGAAATAGTTCCAGCTAGAGAGCTCCAGGCTATGGTGCCTAGTCTCAACTCTTCTTTTGTGTAATGTTTCATTATCTATGCAGAGCACTGTGTAGGATTAAATTCGCCCAAATGACTGGGTCTCCACTCTCCAGCATTGGCTGTGTGCCTTGGACAAAGAAAATGAGTTTGAGGTCAAAGTTCTGAAATAACCACAGAATTTGAAACGGCTTTTTCTTCACCGGTGCGGTGGGTACCTGTTTTAGCAACATGACAGTGTCTCAATTTTTATTACAAATAATTCGATTACTTTAGGGCACGCATTATCAGTAGAGAGTTGTGTGGAACAATAACCGGTAACTTGTATTCCTGGCGCTGATAAGCGTAGCAAGTTAGCAAGTTTAATGGTCCAGGGGGTACGGAATCATGCGTTTTGTTCTCCTTGTCGCGATAACAGGTTCAAGATTAACGGTAGAGTGAGCACGTGACGCCCGGAGGCACTATATTTGTAATACTCCCAAAAACGAATATCATGGCACAAAAACAGACACCAGTGTCATGCTATTGAGTATCACCCAAATAATTATCTTTGAAGAAGTGCAGAGCGCGAAGCCACTCGTTGACCAGACAACAAAATTAGATTATATGTATTGTGATGTAAGAACTGGCACAACTGTAACTTTTATCAAACTATGTGAGATTTGAGAAGTGCAAGGGGGACGGACGAAAGGGAGGCCATGAGATAGTGGAGCAGGCCGGAGAGGGGGGGGGGGAGAGATAGGAGAGGGGGGAGTAGGATAAAGGGGAAAGCGAGGGAAGCATATCGGGCAATTCGCCAGTCACCACAGCTACATTACAAAATATTTCTCAAACAATCACATTGACAAACTTAGGCTTACCTTTTCATTTTAGTTTTATCGTCGATCATGGGTATGGCCCCCTCTCTGAAAATAAAGAAGGTGAATGTTGAATTAAAAATGTCATTTATCATATAATGTACAGTTAATGAAGCATAACAATTATTGCATACGGCGACGGGATTCCCAGGATTGCTGTCAGTTTAAGTTAAAACACAAAAATTTAGTGACGTTGTGAATTTAAGCTACTGAGCAAAACGAACTTTTTAACTTTGGCTTTGTCATCTTCGGAGATCGCTTCAATTCTGAAATGTTTTCAATGTTACTGTAAATTTTTTAATTCATGTACTACCAACAATGAAGCAGGTGACAAATGACAAGATAATTTAAACGTTTATTACTACCGCACAGTTTACCAATGGTAAACAGTGTGGTAGTACTAAACGAGCTCTATTTAGTAAACGTTTAAATGTTGTCTTGCCAATAACAGACATGTAAGCCAACTTTATTAGAAAAAGAAAATAATTCTGTTATCTTTTCTGTACTCACTTTCTTTTATCTCCATGCTTTTTCCCACTCATCCCATAACCATCACACCATCAGCCTACTATAAATTAATGTGAACACAAGTATTTTTTTTACGATCATCATTTCATGATAATCAGAAAAATATGCTCGTATAATAGGTTAGCTGCAGAATATAGATGACTGAAATATAAGCATAATTAAGATTCTTGTCGGTTGCTAACAAGAAACGTCGTTTTGAAATTCCATAGAATAATAACATAAACCTACTAAGAGTACGTGTGTACGGAGGGTTTAAGGAGGACCGGAAACAATATATAATATAAATTCATCATGTGGGGACATGTAGACTGCAAAATGTAATGTAAATGTTTCTAAGATATTCCTGGTGGCCAAATATGGAGATTAAATAAATAGTATTTTCTGATGTTTTGAAGCAAGAAATTACGTTGAACTGTAACAAATCGAAAACATAGGACAGAAGCGCTAACTGCTGACAGCAGAGGTCATCAATTCAGTCCAGTACGCTGTGGAGTATTAGTAATTGAACATTGCACTGCACCAAGTAGAGCGTTGGAAATTATTTGTCTGCCAATCAATTTCTGCGATAATTTTATCTATATTTCAACGGGGCCCTGATACCTACTAAGTTCTGAGAAAACTCTCAAAAAGAATAATCTTATCTAAAGAACAAAATGATCAATGGACTATTTGATCAATGGGACTATCTTACTAGCCTCATCTTTATTTGGTCAGAAGTTAGGGTGACAATTCTCACACTGCCTCACTTTTTTCAGCCCAATTCCCTAAAATTACAATACAATAGAAGAGCATGTACCAGGAGTATATTGTCTTTTATTGACACCCACTGACTGCTGCTATCATCACCTATATTGATAAAATTCACTATGCTGATTTTATAATAATTCTGCACAGCAATTATATGTGGTACAATTTTTCGGGTTCTACATTTCCGAGTCATTTTATTTGAATTATAGGTCCTTGTCCCTAAACTAGCAAAACATCTGATACAATGACAGAACGATTTTCCTTACAATTTCGATGCAAGGAGCAAAACCTTTGTTTTGAAGGTTTTACAGCTGCGATTGCATACACAGAAATATTGTCAAGTCCAAAAGGTTGTTGGGAAAATTTAGTCGAGTGAAGAGAGTTTCTAGTTTCTAGTCACGTACGTCAATCTGAAAATTAAAGTAGAGAGTTGATAATTGTTTTGGACCTCTAGCTCTCTAGGGTCAAAAGAAACAACAACGATTCAGAGTCCAAAGATTCAGGAGGTGAAATGACTGGAGCTTTATCTATTGATCAGGGGCTCATTTTTTAAGATGATAATTATTGTATTTTGAAGTTAAGGTTTAATTAATTAGGTACAACACTTGTCACTTAGTTCTAATTTCAGCTGGCATTTTTTGTTTTAAAATATGAGAATGAACAACCCCTGGCCCTGCAAAACATGATAGTAACAGACAAGTACCTTCCACTATGGCACAGCCATTGACTCAAACATTAAATAGCTTAGGACTTGCAAAGAACAAAACTTTTGTCTAAATGATTTACTCACCATCCCCATAAAATTGCTAAGTAAATCCTAATATCAACATATCCACACAACACAGTAGTTTTTTTTGCAGCTCTCTTGTGCAATTCGAACAAACATATAAAATGGGCCGAAATGTATAAATGCTAAAAAGCGTGGGTCAGTGAAACAAGTACAAAGGACAACTTTCAGAACAGGAGTTTTTTGGCCGCCCAAAGTCTCAATAACATCACCTCCACCGTACCTAGTAATAAAATTATGAAATGTGAAAAGTGTGAAACAATCAAATAATAATTCACTGAGTGCATATAATTGGAATAATTATTTCTGGCCTATTGATTTGAATTGTAATGCATTGTGTTTGAATATAAAAAATAAACTTGTCCATTAAAAATACACTTGTCCTAAAAAATAACAGCTCTATCTCTCAGATGACCAAGATATCAAGCATAAAAAGTTTATTCATTACAAGGTCAGGCTAGTTGATTGGGTTGATTAGATCTGCACTATCACATGATCACCCTATCAATTTTGCTTTAAAGAGATAAACAAATTATTTGGTAACTTTGTCATTTAATTTTAAATTTCTTGCATGTTATCTTTTCAGATCATTCCACATTTAATGAATGACCTATTGCAATATTTTAGCGTTTCTAACATATTTGAAAACACAATTTTGGCAACAGAATCCTTGAATGAGCAGTTTTTGCATACCATCTGCTAAGTTAAAAGTCTCAAATGCCTCAAAATCCAAGCCACAATCCTTAAGACTTCAATATGCAAAGCCAAATGGTCCAATACCTCCTTTTCGTCCTGCAAGAGGCAATAATAACATCACAGCACCACCAAATCTTTGTGGTACCTCGATTAGCAAGGGCGGCATTTGTTAGAAAAAGTTAGCTAGTCTTAAAATTATCTCCAATGTACATTGTAACTTTAAAGGGGCAGATGCTAAGCAAATCAAAACACCTCATTGAATTGACTTGTCTTGTAATTGTCTCCAATTATGCTAAACGAACACCTCATTGAAAATGTCTCGCAAACTAGGGGGTTATTGTAATATTATGAAGATTGCAAAATTAGATACTTTCTACGTACCATTACTGGGCAAATGACCTTGAAAATAATTCCATTCCATACAACGACAATTCATATGACAAATTTTACACTGCAATCATAGTCGACGATAACTAAGTACCTTCTAATTCTTTTAAATCTGAGGCATATATAATTGATATATCGAAAGGATTTTCCCTTTTTTACCACCTTACCATTTTGATTGATTTTACACATGACTGACATGTTTTAACTGGAGAAAGGGTTCGCACAGTGGTAGTTTTATAAACCACTTTTAATTTATTGACCTATTATACCTAGTGGTAGTTTTATAGACCACATTTAATTTATTTACTTATTATACTTAGTATTTATTTTTGGTGACTGTATCACCCAGTTTTAACATTTGATAATTGTACAGTTTATTGACGACACATTGACTGAATGTTATTTTATATTCTAATTTATATTCTAGATATTTCATTTATTTTTCAACAGACGACAACTTCCTGTTTTTTCTTCTATATTAGTTACTCATATCTCTTTTACAGACTTTTTTACAAGGACATTGACAGATGATACTCACATTAGGCATTCATTATTGCATCTAAATTATTTCACTTGCATTAGGTTTAGAAATTTATTCTCTGGTTAACAGATTTCAACTGTTTAATTAATTTGTAGTATGACAGTAAGGTATATAAGAAGTTATTTAATTTTGCTTGGGCTATTATATTGACTATTGAGGTTTAATGATGATATGGAATTTGAATTCTATATAAATTTACACTATGTGGTTGGGGCATTTTGCATAGTAAATATGGTTACTACTCCTATATATCATATTATTTGATTGGTATTCGATTTCTGATTATTTCTCTAGGAATATGATTATTATATCTCAATTTGGCTTTAGGTAGGGTGCCCCGCTAAAAGAACTGGATTCTTTCAGGAAGCATCCTGTGCACAGGCCTTGGTCTACATATATAATATTAAATTATTAACCATTCATTCTGTATGTGCACGAAAATTTATTTCAATCAAAAATACTTCTACTATAAATATAAATACAATCACCCTTAATCTGAGAGTTAAAAATATTGAAAAATTTGTTATGCACTGACTAGCAGCAGCCTAGTATTTCCCGGTATTTCCCGCTATTCCACAGAGTACCTGGCAAATTTAGTTGTGTTTACTGTTTGGTCCTCCCTTCCTTAATTGAAGTATCTTTTAAATTTATAAAGTTTGTACATTTGAGATTAGTGCAGAAATTAAGGTGTGCTCTAAAAGACGTCACGAGAAATTTGAAACCATCAATACGATTGATTAACATCATGGGTAGTTTGATAATATAAAAGCTAAATCATGGTTAAATAATATTTGAAAATATTAACAAGATCATGTCATATCATTTGATTTCTTTACAGTATACTAACTTAAGGGGGCCGGGGGTCTTCGGAAGACCCATTCTGTCAAAAAACGATTTTCCAATGGAAAAATTCACAAAATTCGGCTTGATTGATCTTTTCTAAATGATCCCTGGAACATAACCTGAAAGTGTAGGAGAAGATAGATTTTTAGACTCAAGTTTTAGGGCGCATAATAGAAAATAACTTGCACAATACAATCACACAATACACACAAGCGCTGACCTTTGACCGTTGATAACTCATTGTTACATAATATTTTTCCATGGAACCAAAAGCCGCTATCACTTCCTTCCATCAGAAAGAACTATATAAAATTAATTTCGAGAGAAATTTCTTGAAGACCCCTCTGGCCCCCTTAATAAGAGATATTTCGAGTAAGGAAGGGAGATCCAAACATAAACACGGCTAAATCCGTGGAATGGCGGGAGATGCAGGCTGATGTCTTTTGCTGCTAGGCATTGAATTATTTATTGATCAGGATGTTTAACTTACAGTATTGACAACGATTCCAATGTCGATAAATACTGAAAGCCTTAGGGAAGATATGCATTATGACACTCGTCATCATCCACACTCGTCATCATCCCAGTAATGGTGCCATTACTCATAATTGACTAAAATTACGTCCGTTCTGTTACAGTTTATGTTGTAAATAAATAATTTAATCGGTGTAAATATTGAGCTACACACACGACGGAGTGTAAGTCGTAAGGTTCCAGGTCAGTTCTTAAATAAAACAACCAGGTACGTGTGTATGTCTATTGTGTTATTTTTCAACTTAAAAGTATTGTATGATCAGTGATTGGATGGAATTCGAGTCATGTCAGGTGAGATCCCCATGCTGTTTACTGTTATTGTATTGTGGAATACGGCGAGCGTTTTGGGCAGTGTGGTTTCATGTGAGTAGAAACATCTGCTTAATCAGGTGACTAACAGTTTGCAATTAGAACTTATGCTCATTTGTGGCATAATTTAGCTAACACCAATTAAGTGCATCATACTCAAATTGTATTAATAATATACTTTGTTTTAATACTGAAATACACTATACTACACTATCAAAAAGTCTGGCAAGCGGATCCCAACACTTCTTGAATTCGTCTACTTAACAAATGGAGAAGCTTTTATCTATCTACAAGTGTAGTAGAACGTTAGTAGGTTTATCTAAGAATTTTACACAATGATAATGGAGCTGCAGTAGTAATGAATTTGTCGGAATTGAAAAATTATTCTAAAATGTAAACCTTGCCAGGGTAACAAATTCTAGTAACAAATCTGAAACAAGTTCAAAACATGTCACAACATGGAGAACTTTTCAATTAAGAACTGTTGCTGAAAAACTATCCCAGAAGAGAGGAGAAGACTGTGCGGCTATTATGTGTTACATGCGCACCAGGATTAGATTCTCAATCCTCAGGAGCACCCTGATAGCGGTCAGGGGTGAGAGATGGAGACGGCAATCATATACATTGCCAGTCAGTGTAACTTCGTTTAACTTGATACCTGCCACCGTGGACTATGAATGTTTCTAGACACTATCCTTTTGATATTGAGATATTGGTATCTCAGATCACGTGTACATCGTTCCTTTTTTATGACACAGTAATTTATTAAGAACTGTTGCAGTGTACATATTACTGGACATAAATCCACACTACTACGCCAAACTGACTTCATTTTATCTGAAACAATAATATATGTAAATTTTCGTATTAAACATAAAAGTTTATGGTAGGAGAAGGATAATCATTGCTTGGGTAATCAGGGCAGAACTTGATATTTGTATTAGAAAATAAGTGTTTTGGAACAATTAATTAATAAAATTATTCAAACGATATACACATAATTGTCACAATGACCCTATATAAAAACAACCCTTCAAAAAATCAAGAAACAATTAATACGATAAAGGCTGTAACGGAGATTAGCTGCTTGATACATCAAAATTACAAAATTTATCTTTTCAGAAGTACTTTGACCAATGCACAATGTAATGAATAGATTTAAAGTATCTGGAAGTGATAATAAAATAAAAAATGTTCATGCCACATGCTATTTATTTTGGACATGAGCATTTTGTGGGCATTCAATGCGAAGCTGATTTCTGCAAAAATCAGAACAATTGTAGATTTCTGCGGAAAACTTTGCCACACGTTGCGCTTAGAAGAACAAAAGGGTTTTAAAACAAAAGCAGGCCTCCCATCGTACCCTTATATACGATATATATTAAGGAACGTGTAGCAAATACAACTTTTTACAAATATATATTAAATCAACTAAAAATATTTTATTTGGGAGACTCCGCGTGCAAATGTGAAATGACTTACTGGGCCGCGCTCAGCCTGTCATTCCGCCGAATCTCTAATATGTTTATGAACATGATAGCCTGAGGTCCCCAGGTAAGAAATGACGAGCTTGTGAGCCAATAGTTCGATTTTTTACGAATCAAAAAATTATCAAAGGCGCGCGCTATATCTCCCGCGAAAGCACATATAATTTGATTTTCATACGTTGTATGACCCGCCGCGCACGAGTGCGCGGCTCCCCCCATATCGTAGAAACTCTACACCATAGTGAAACGACCGTGGGTGTCACAACGTGATACAACAATTTGATAAATATGAAATAGTTCTATAACTTGATTTATTTTGCACTGAGTTTGTAAGTTTTTTAAAAAATCTATCAAAATGCGCGTCGAGTTCAGAGTTGAAACAAATATTTTACGAGTTTCACCCGTTAACATTATTTTTGTAAGTCGCGTCAGCTGACATTTTGGGTTGTACTGGATGTAACAAGTTTATTATCGGATGTCTACTTATATTCATTATGATATCATTATTCATTGTAATGGCAATAAAATTTAAATTTTGTATTTTACTTAAAATTTTGTTTTACTTAACATGATGCACTATTGGGCCGCGCAACCTTTAATGCTTCCCGCAACAACGCACGCTAGATCGGCGAAACGCACCATTTAATTGGGCTTCGCTTTTATCACGTTGTGACCCCACGGTCGTTTCACTATGTTTCACCCTGTAGAGATCTTACGATATAGGGGAGCCGCGCACTCGTGC